GCTCGATTTTTTGCCGATTTTTGACACACCACGCCAAAAAGGTTGCCCATCACTGGTGTAGGTTCTCCATCATTGGAGGCTTTGAAGAAGAAGATAGAAAGCCATCTCTCGTGGATAGTTTTAATTGGTTTCCTGCAGAGCGATAAATTATATTATCCTTGTAGTCCTTTCCAATTTTCCAACCCTACAGTTCTAAGCTTTCACAGATGTAAGTGGCCCCAAGATCTCCAGTTGTATGCTCTTGACCTAAAACTTTTCTGTTTTCTTTAATCCCACCCACATCCCCTTTTAAACATTTTAAAAAAAATATCTACCGTGTTTCCCCGAAAATAAGACAGGGTCTTATTTTCTTTTTACTTACAAAATATGGCCTTGGGCTTATTATAGGGGAGGGTTTATTGTTTTGGGGTTGCCGGGCGGCTGGCTCCCGAAGAGCCGGGTACAGCCTCAGGGACGAAGCAGCCATGAGGTGACCAAGCTCACGAGCAACCACCCGGCAAATCCCCTCTCCAGCCGGGCAGAGCACCATTCACTGACCTAGGGGGTATCCCTAAGGCACCAAGTCACATGGTGCTCTGCCCACTCCCCAGCTCCCACGGCTTGGTACATTAGGGATACCCCCTAGGTCAGTGCATGGAGCTCTGCCGGGTGGGAGAAGGTGATTGCACGAGCACCTGTTCCGCCCCCAGCAGGCATGCCTCCTAACCTCAACATGTCCGGGCCCAGCTCTCCCTGCAGCAGCCACCACCGCTGTCGGGCTCCGAGCATAACATCTTCTCCGGTTCCAAACTCCCAAACTTGGCTGCCGAGTCTTCCAGCAGCAGCCGCTCTAGGAGTGCACTCTATGGTTGTGGGCTGGCTGCTGGAAGATTCTCTGTCCGGAAAGCTCTCTTACAGAGTCTTCCAGAGCCAGCCCACAAACATAGAGTGCACTCCTAAAGCGGCCACTGCTGGAAGACTCGGCAGCTGACTTTGGGAGTTTGGAACCGGAGAAGATGTTATGCTCGGAGCCCGACAGCGGTGGTGGCTGCTGCAGGGAGAGCTGAGTAACTCCCTCCTCCAGCCAGGCAGAACACCACTCCCCAACCTAGTGGTATCCCAAAGGCAGCAAGCAATGTGAGCACCTTTCTCCCCCCCCCCCAGCTCCTGCAGCTTGGCACCTTCGGGATACCGCTATGTCAGTGAGCGGTGCTCTGCCTGGCTGGAGGCGGGGGGTGGTGGTTCTCCAGGGGGTTTATTTTCAGGGGCGGGCTTATATTTTTGCCCACGCGAAAAATGTGGCAAGGCTTTAGTTTCAGGACAGGTTGTATTTTTGGGGAAACGCAGTAATTGAAAATCAGCATTTACAGCTTCTACATTCATCTTCAAACAACGTCTGCCCCTAATTCATCATCATCACTACCACCACCACCATCATCAGGGATGATATTCACTTACTTTCCTGATGTGAGCACGCGCCTGTCTATACAGATGCTTGACCTTCAGTGCATGTGCTTTGATTGCATGCACAGCTTGCACACATGCGTGCGGCTTGAAAATGTGCCTAAATAGGACGCCATAGAGCCAGGTGAGCGGGTCTACCCGCGATTTCCATTACCAGTTTGGGTGAACTGGTCCAAACCGGATGAATACCACCTCTGATCATCATCATCTTGCCTCCACATGGAAAAGTCCTGATCCCATTCACTATTAAAAACCACACGCCAAAGGAGACAGAGATCGCCTTGTTGTGCCTCTTTGTGAATCATTTTTTATCTAACTAGAGAACTGCAAATTTCCACTTCTTTGTTTCATTCCCTCACACGTCCATAGTTTCCAAAGAAAAGAAAGAGGCGTATTAGATGCCTGGCCCTCTTTTTAATTCACTAAAGGCTCCCAATCAATAGCGCTACTTCTGCCACTGCTGAATCAATTCATCTCGTGACAGGTTCCCTCCACTGGAGCTATTTCCAATTACTATTTTTGTTCTTATCCATTTTCTTTATTCCCAGAGGTGGCAAAGTCAATAAAGATCAAATTTCTACCTTGCCCATAATACATCATCAGGGACTGCAGTCAATAATAATTTTTTTAAAAGAGAAAAAAAAAACATTGAAAAGAGTAAGAAGCTCGATGTGTTGATCTCCTTTGCCATGGGTTTTTTTTTCTTTTCTTTTTTGCAACTATAAGTAGTGGGAGAAACACACATGAAGCTAATAATATCGCTCTGCAGGGAAAAGCATGACGCTGGAGCCAACGTTTGTGACGAGGGACTCTGATGGATCTTTCAGAGATGCTCAGACAGATATAAGCCACCACTTTCATTTTGAATGCAGCTCATGCTGCGTGAGACACAGCCCAACTAATGCAAAAAAGTGTGAGCATCTGTTGGTGTGTGGGGGGCGGGAGAGACGTTACAAACAAGGACAGAGGGAGCAAGAGGTATTTCGTAAAGGTATGAAAGTTGGGCAAGGCTGCTTGCTCAGAGATGAAATTAGATCTGGTGAGCCATAGAAGAGACGGCAGAGAAATAATTGTTGAAGAGGCTATAAAGACGCTATATAAAGTGAGTCATTGTTTAATGATGTTCACAGTCACTGCGCTATTAGCACAGAGAATAAGCGATACAAAGCCCCTAAAACAAATATGAAGAACTTGCAAAAGAAAAACATTTACATTCTGGGAAACACTGCAACATCCTATCAGCCCTTCGGGCAAAGTGGTTAGAGTGTAGCACTGCAGGCTTCTTCTGCTGCCTGCCGGCCGCCTGCAATTTGGCAATTCAAATCGCATCAGGCTCAAGATTGACTCAGCCTTCCATCCTTCTGAGGTGGGTAAAAGGAGGGCCCAGATTGTTGTGGGCAATAGGCTGACTTTGCAAACCGCTTAGAGAGGGCTGTAAATTTAGAATTTAGAATTTTATTAACATTTATAGGCCGCCCTTTTCCCTGAGGGGACTCAGGGCGGCTCACATAAAATCAGGAGGGGGAATACAAACAATAACATAGACACATATAGGTAAAAATATAAGCAACATTCATTCATCATTCGGGAGGGGCGGCTATC